GGGGGGGGGGGGCAATTAATACCCTACAGATGAGACAGCACTTCCTTTGCTCCATATATTCGCGTAGCACTGCGGAGCCCATCTTGAATTTGGCGAAACACGTCAATATTTGCATTCCAAACGATGGGAATCCTAATCAAGACGTTGTTTGAATAATACGTTTTGAAGTTGTATGTCCGCGCCCAGACTTTACGGAGACCCAGTCGTAGTCGAAGCACTATTCTACATCGATGTCTGCATGGCTATATTATTCTGCCTACTGAATTAGCGCGGCTGCTGTATTTTAACAGCTTATTCCTCCTTTGATCAGCCTCTCAAAATGCACTGCCGGACGTGCGCCCTGGTGACCAGCTCGGGCCACCTGATCGGGGGCGGCCGGGGCGAAGAGATAGACCGGGCCGAGTGCGTCATCCGCATGAACGACGCGCCGGCCGCAGGGGGCTACGCCTCCGACGTGGGCCGTCGCACGTCCCTGCGCGTCATCGCTCACTCCAGCATGCAGCGCGTGCTGAGGAGTCGCAATCAGCTGCTCAACGCCAGCCAGGACGCCGTTTTTATCTTCTGGGGGCCCAGCAGCTACATGCGGCGTGACGGCAAGGGCCTGGTCTACAACAACCTGCGACTCATGAGTCAGGTGCTGCCCGCGCTCAAAGTCTACATCATCTCCTGGCAGAAGATGTTGCAGTTTGACGACCTCTTCAAGAGGGAAACTGGCAAGGACAGGTAACAGCCAAGACACGCCGCCGAAAAAATTTTGATGACGGAGCAAAAGACGGTACTTTGACCAACTTGACTTTTTGGCTCAAGTATCACTGACAGTTTAGTCTTCGATAAACCTCGAGTGGTTGGATGGATGGATGGATTTTTATCTTCAGTGTTTTGTCAACACGAAACAATTCTGACGCTTAAATGAACCAAGTGTGCAAGTTTTAGGACACGGACAATTTATTCGACAGTGACCCAAAAACATTTTTATACCTTGGGGAAAAAAAAAATGTCTCCTCTGTGAGGGTTCTTGACCCAAAAAGTTCAAGAATTCCGATGTGCTGCGTATGCCTGTTTTGGTAAACATTGAGAACAATATTGAGAAGAATGCAAGGCCCCCAAAGAACTCTATTCTCTGGCTGCGTGAAGGTTAGGATTCTAAACCATTTGGCCAAGTTCCATTTAACGTGGCAAAAAGCCTTGGCTAAGGTATTTATTCTACTGGGTGCCCTTGTTGCTGAGTTGCGCCTCTCCGTTTTACCTGTTCAAGGAAACAATCTTCCGTATAATGGCTTCCAGAAAGACGTTTCCTAAGACTCGAAAAACAAGCTGAGGGCTAACGGTGAATAAAAGCAAACTCGATTATTTTCATCCTCTGCGCCTGAGCTTTTGTTCGGCGTGTCGGAGCAGATTGAACGCCACTTCGGTGAAGACGGACGTCGCCGAAGAAATTGCCTTGTGCGGGGGAGTCCGGGGTGAGCAGCTCCGGACATTTATCCCAAACGTTTGCCGTGATTAAATGGCTGCTGTTCTCATTTCCCGTTTTACCGCCGCGGCGACATGAGGAATTAATGATTGTGAAGAGTGGAGGGGTGTTAACTCGCTGTTGCGCATGCAAGGTTACTTCAAAAAGAAAAACGCACGGAGACTCTCCGGGCAACATTCTGTGCAATCAACAAACCTGTGCGCCTGTTTGTATGTTTCCATGACAGAGATTTAATGTTTTTTTTTTTTTTCTGCTGTTATGGAGTCAAGGTAATTAACAGGCGTGTGAAGGCTGTTTCGATATCCGCCTGTTTTGATAACAGCAGCAGAGGAGCGAACAGATGTCTCTCAGTGTGAGTTCAAGAGGCTGATCAAGTGTCTTTTTAAAGCAAAATTAATCTCGTTTTTGCTCATCGGTCATTAATTTCGACAGGGGTGGGCAACTGGCGACCCGCAGTTGAGTGGCCCCTTGATCAATACTAGAAAAGTTGAAAAAAAAAACAAAATGGTGAGGGGTTGGACGGTCATAATTGAGTGAATACTCGTGGCTCATATAAAAATTTCGTGTGAATCACGATTCAATAACATGAAACAGAGGCAGTGCAGGTCGTCAAAAAAGGTTTCCATTTTGATTTCCTCAAAACTCACCAAGGAACCGTCATCACATTTTATGTAGATTTGCGCATAAAAAAAACAAGTAAGGGAAGCTTGTTCAAAGTTCAAACACGTGCGGCAAAATCAAAACAAACTCAAACGAGCTCGTTAAATTGTTGGATTGCGGCGAGAAAGTAGCCGGCAAACATCAGATGGAGGGGATAAATATTTGTGTTTGCCCACTGGCAGCTCAGGCGACATTTGCTTCGGTGTTATTCTTCGTCACGCCTGTAAACACGGCAACGATAAGCACGCGCGGGTTCCTCGAGAGGACGTTGCCTAGAAGATGAAAGACAAGCAGCAAAAAAAAACACAAAAAAACGAATGCATTAGCACTGCGGCTCACCCTGACACTCGCTGACAGCTTTTCTGTTTCTAAACACAGATGATAATTTAGCCGTGAATCAAACTAACAAGGTAGGAGTTGTCACAAGGCGTCAAAGACCAAAAAGTGTTTCTGTAAACTCCAGAGACATATTAGTGCCCTCAATAAACGTAATATGGAAGTTGTTTTCACAAACATCAAAGACATTTTAGTCTTCAGTGAACCTCGTGTACTGTAAGTTTCAGTAAACAGAGAAGACAAGTTGGCATGAACCAAACATGGCGCACGTCTTCCTAAACAGACAATTTAGGGTTCAATAAATCGAACGTTTTTTTTTTTTTTACTTCATACTATCTTCAGTGCTTTTGTAGACAAAGTCAGTTTAGTCTTCATCCATCCATTTTCCGATCCGCTTGATCCTCACAAGGGTTGCCGGCTGGAGCCTATTCCAGTCGTCTTTGGGCAGTAGGCAGGGGGACACCCTGAACCGGTTGCCAGCCAATCGCAGGGCACACAGAGACGAACTACCATTCGCGCTCACACTCACACCTCGGGGCAATTCAGATTGTTGTTTTCATAAGCATCAAAAACAATGCAAGTTTTTTTTTTTTCATCCATATGGTTGCGGTGTTCATGAATGTTAAACCCCAAAAAAATCCACAGCAAATCTGACATCTTATCATTCGGCAGCGCCCTTAAGGCTCTGAAGGTCTTTTCAAGACATTTATTTCTTTCCTTTGCTCCAAAAAATTGAAAGCCCATTTTAGGGTAGTGCAAAATCGTCTGTCTGGTCATCCGTCATTGTGCGCTCTGTCCTTGCGCCGAGTGCGTGCAAGGCCACCTTTCCTGATGAAGGCTTCCACCATTTGACAGGCTTCATTTGTATCGCTCGATACGCGGCGGCGCGGCTGCGTATTTTAATGACGCCGCGGAGCAGCGTGAACGATCAAGGTCCAGATTGAGACGAGTCCTCACATAATCACATGCAAAAATCAAATATGTTCCCATTCATCAAACCGTCGCCCTCCGCCTGTGTCGCAGGAGGATATCCAACTCGTGGCTGAGCACCGGCTGGTTCACGATGACCATCGCCCTGGAGCTGTGCGATAGGATCAACGTGTACGGCATGGTCTCGCCCGACTTTTGCAGGTGAGAGAGTGCTCGAGGTGCATCCAGAATGTGCGCATTATGTTCGCCGTTCCTATGAAAGCAGCATCGTTCGTAATTCAGCAATATCTGAGGTATTAGTGACAGATTAACGTGAACAGGGTATCTCTAAAGAGGATTTGCTCGAGTAAAGTGAAGGACGAAGGATTAAGGTCCCCCCCTCCCAAAAAAAAAGGTGGTATCGAGGGTGAAAGGAATGCATTACATGTCACCCTCCAGCAGCCAAAAAAAAAATCAAAATACAGTATGTGCACTCTTAAATACAGCCTTCCTCCTGTAATATTCACCCACCGTGGCCACGTAACATCACAGAGCGTCTCTACTTGTCCATTGCGGAAATGCCAGCAGCGATATCAGGGGAACGTGCGATGTATCGCGTAAAGATCCGATTTGAAATCATCGGTCCCCATTGAAATGAATGAAAATGCTATGAATCCGTTCAAGTTTAACCCCGATTTTAATATGTATTTTAATACGGAAAAATAGCACTCAATAATATCGTTGTTTGTAAACAGACTAATGACAATTAAATAGAATGTGAAGAATGAAACTGTAAGCGCATCAAGATTTAATGCTACAATCCAATTCATTGCGTTGTTCCTTCTGGCGTGCTAATTTTGGCATTCGTGCTTTTTATAGTTCTCGGGGCATTCAAAAAAAATGAAGGCACTGGCGACCGTCTTTCCTTGACCACATAGAGTGGGAAAAAATGACCCGCGATACAGCACAATTATAAGTCTCCGAATTTGCTGCTTCAGACATCCTTTGACGTGTCTTCCACAGCAGGGATCCCGAGCACCCATCGGTGCCCTACCACTACTATGAGCCGCGGGGCCCCGACGAGTGCGCCATGTACATATCGCACGAGCGCGGCCGACGGGGCAGCCATCATCGCTTCATCACGGAGAAGCGGGTCTTCGCCGACTGGGCACGGACGTTTGACATCCATTTCTACCAACCCGACTGGAGCCCCGCCCCTCTGCCGGCGAACCGCACCGTGAACGGAGGAGTAACCAAGGGATGCCAAACGTGATTGGATGACATACCCGCCGTCCCAGCGAATGCGAGAAGACGTCGACACGAGACGACGTTGATCCTGATTGACAGTTGTTGAGGAAAACATTTCATGGCTGCTGCCAAAAGCGGCACACGAAAAGCGTTCAAAGTCGCAAGCCCACGTTTTTTTTTTCATGCTGCGAAGGTGAAATAATATGAGGAGCCAGCATCATCGTCTCATGCTCACTCGGGAGAGCGAGCAGCAATGTCAATCATTCTGTGTGTACGTGTGTGTCGGCAGTGTAGGCACTGATAGCAAGTTCAATATAAAGGTAAACTTTTGATGTTTTTTTTTTAAAGAGCACATTCAGACCCAACATGTTTCTGCTTACTTGCCAGACATGTCGCATATTTGACTACATTTGCATTTAGCACTTTTAAAACCACCCCAATGTGATCGTTATCAACAAACTCGATATAAACTTCGATCCAGAGTCAGCGCGCAGGTCGATTTTTTTACCTTGAAATCGTATTAATATTTACAAGACAGCTAGCACCATGGGCAACAAATCTGGACACCCCCGCGAATAAGGTTTACATGGCACTAATTGACGAATGACCCCATAAGATGGTGGGAAAGGTCCATTTTTGTCTAAATGAAGCTCCTCAACTCACACCATCAAGGTGCCACCAGATAGCGGCAAAGCAACACTGATATTTGGCAAGTTTGTAAATGCTGAACCATCAATATGCGGCGGTTTACTACAAAAGAGCAGAAAAGCCACACAGGGAAGCAACATCCATCACTCAGTAGTATCGATGCACATCGAAGGGGCCCAAGGTTTTATACGACGACACAAACCCGATTTTGTCCACAGGTCGCAACACAAATAATTGCTGTGATGAAGTGCATTGAAAACACTTCTAGGCTATAAATAAAAACAGAACCAATGAAAAGCGGTAAGAAAAAGGCAATCCCTTACCTTTACTGCTGCGACTGGACTACAGCTGTAGTTCATTGCGCCACAATTCGTAACCACAAAAGGTTGCAAGTCTTAAACCGAGGATATCCTGTGCATAGTTTGGCCGAACAATCCAGGCCATGAAATACTGACAAAAGTCTAGATTTGATGAGAAGATGCAGATTTTACAAGAGAAAAGTTTTGACTTTTTGAGAATTTTTATGAGCCTGGTCGAGTAGAAAAGTAGTGCTTTGCCGCCATCTTGGCGCATCCACACAAAGTCATAACATTGATATAAGTATGCACGTAAATTAGCAGTAGCTGTACTTAAATATCGGACAAAAATTTTAAGGGCACAGAAACCAGGTCTTGTGCCATTTAAAGGTCCCGACAGGATGCCCCAAAACTCACTCAGTTAGGGCCCACTGGAAATTCGACCTAATTAGCTCCCGACTAGTATCTTTCTTATGCTTACACAAAAATAGGTTTGCGCTGTGAAGGTATATCCGCTTAAAGCCTTCGGTGGTTGGAATCTATCAAACCGGTCACATTTTACACATCACGACAACGAGGCGCTCTAAAGCGGCCCCACCAAGTGTGAATTCCTTGTCCACACGTTGGCCATCATGACAAGCCTCAAACACCAAGTCCCCCCCCCACCTCTTCTTGCCCCTACCACATCTCTCTTCCATCTTGTCTTTGTGATGTGCGCTCACTCGCAGCTGACAACGAGGCGCTCTAAAGCGGCCACAGTAGCCTGAAGCCCTGGTCCAGATGCTGGCTGTCAAGTTAAAATTCCTCCATATGCCACGAGTGCGCGCACGGCCAACAATAAAGCACTCTAAAGCATCCGCAACAGTGGAAACCTGAAGGGAAGATGAACTGTCCCAGTGAAAGCAAAGCAATCTAGCTAGCTGCACATTGAAATATATTAAAAACTAATCTCCGAATTCACTTGAGCCCCAGTTGGAACGTGCTATCCAAGACAAGACTGGCGCTGCTACATTGCAAAGCTTTTGTTTCGCCTCCGCCATTGAACACCATGAATCATTCTGAGAATTTCCCATGAGAAACGGTGTAGGAGGGGACCCCTTTATCGCTGCTTGCAGCTTTAATTGCTTTTATGTTTGCGTGGGTATTTTGCCATTCAATGGCTATATTTTTTACTTGAAATTTTACTGTTATTTCTTTGTACGGCGGCACTTTTTCGTACCTCGGCTGCCTACGAATGAGCACCGTCTCCGGCTAATCGTGTGATGGATGTCGCTACAAGTCACGCAAACACCGCCGTGTCACAGCAGACAAGAGGACGATGAAGATGGAGCGGCCACCGCGTTTGCCGCGGCAGACTTTTCTTGGACGAGGACGTGACGTGGCAATCGCTCGCTGAAGTGCACTTTTATCTCGCTGCATACTGAACACGCTTTTCACCGCCACTTCTCCGAGAACCAGGTGTCATTGGGGTTGAAAACAGCGAGAAAAGGTTTTCTAACGATACATCTTCGTGTCGAGCCCCCATTGATTTGGGCCTCGTCTTTGTGCAGTGAGTCATGAGAGGAGCCGCGGTCTCAGACGAGGACACAGCCGAAGGAGGTCCTTTGTGCTCTTGTATAAAAAGATCCATGTTGCTCGCAAGGGCTGCGTGACGAGCGGCGCGTGGATCACACGTTTGGATTATTTTAGGTTTGTGCCAATTAATGTTCAACTGGGAATGGGTTTGGGTTTTTTTTTTTCCTTTGTCAGTGTTCTTTCTCTGTATTTATTCTGGGAAAATTCAGTGTCAGCAAAATGGATAAAAATGTTTAAACCATAACGTCAAACTCAGAGGTATTCTGCGTCATTTTATATATTGTATATAAAGAATATATATATATATATATATAAATAATATGACTTTGTCATGTTGTTTAGTCATGTGACTTTAGTCCGATGCTGCCTATATGGCTAGCGAGTTTCAAACTGCCATTTTTTTTCTTTTCATTCAAAGCACTTATGTAAATGTAAACATTTGGTATTTTCCCAAATCACCGCTTCTTCCATAATTTTATTTTTTCTTCCACATACTGAGAAATATATGTAAAATATTTTTCGGTCCTGCTTTTTCATCAATTAAAATGGATTTTAAGTCAGTGTTTGTAATTTTTTTGCTTAGGCCACACTAAACCCAATTCCAATGAAGTTGGAAATCCATTTCAACCCATATTCAATTAGAGATAGAATATACATTTATACATATTTAATGTTCAAGCTCACAAACAGTTTTTTGGATGGGATTTTGACCTTTAAAAGTAGCAGCACCAAGGTACTGAATATAGGGTATCGATTACACTACTTCAGGTTCTTGCGCATAATTCTAATTGAAGAGACCACCACACCTGGGGGAAAAAAAAAAGTTATATATATATATATATATATATATATATATATAGATTCATTATTTTGAAAAGACATCAATAAAAGTTCTTCTTGGCATAAGAAATGTTCCATTATACAGGCGGGGAAGGAAAAAAGAGGAAGTGGGGGGAGGGGGTATGTTCGCTCAAGTGAGGTTGACCTTGTCTGCCAAAATCTATTCACCATTCCTGCGCATCTTCCCCCCACCCCCCCAAAAAATCAATAAGCTATTAAATTCTCTGGTACCTTAGATAAAACTTTTTGACAGGACTCAGCGGTGACGTGACGTTTTCACAACAAGCTTGTAGCCGCACCTGCCAAATTGAAATGATAATTACTTGCACGTGTTGATGGATTTGCTCAGGCAACCGGCCAAGTGACAGACAACAAAAAAATTCATTTTTAACATTTGTTTTTATTATTTATGAAGATCCTTCACCGAGATACAAAACAGACAAAAATCAGTAGTCAAGTCTTTCGTGAAATCAGACCAAAATAATATGTTGCTGTCCAACGAAAAGCACACCTTTCCAATTATGAAAAGCAAGTAGCTCCATGTGAATTTTTAATATTGAGAAAAAAGTGGTATTGCCACAGGTTGACTTTTTAAGTATAAATCAAAATTCAATACTCACGTCATTTTGGGACTTTTTAACATCCACAAAATCCAAGTATTTCAAAATTTGCATATTTTCCGCACTATTAGGCACACCTAAAAGCATTCAATTTTCTCAAAAGCCGACCGTGCGCCTTATAATCCGATGCGCCTTATATATGGATCAATATTGTATTGTATTCCCTCTACCATCTAGTGGATGCATAATGCAACTGCAGCCACTATTGTAGCTTCTATTCTATTCGCTAATAATGCGGTGCACCCTATAGAGTCTATGAAAATAGGCCATTAATTGAAGGTGCACCTTACACTCCGAAGTGCCTTATAATGCGGAAAAGACGGTAAGTGACTTTTACGCAGATATCGCCAAATGTTAACTTTTTAGTATTGAGTAAAATCTGATTTCTTTTAAGAATTTGTATTTCTGCTAGGCATGGGATTTTTGTTGGACAACAATATGCTTGTTTCATTTAAGTAAACGCCCCACTGATACATCTCTTATGATGGACCTGCAACCGTTATAAAGGAAGATGTCAATCCTATACACTTTGACTCGCTGGAAATGATTGACATTGGTTGGGAAAGTGTGTCAAGACTCCAGGGGGAAAACTTGTAGTTTGGATATGAAATATTTTGTGACGTCAGTCCTGCCATACACCTTGTAGCTCGGATGTAGCACAAGTTCGGAGTTCCAACAAAAGTTTCGTTGAGCCGAGATGGCCAAAAAAAATCATACAACATCTTATCACCTTCAAAGGAGGCACTTGTAGAAGTAAAAGGTGGATCCCCTCGTAATTAGGGAAGCTCAATACTGTCAGTTGCGAGCAGTTGGGAGACAAATTTGTTCTTTTGATTCATCTATAATCAGGGCACCGGCATCTTGCCAAAATGAGGGAGTACAACATGTTTCGCTCCCCCAAAAAAGGGGAAAGGAGCTGTGGGAATTGTTAGGCAGGAAATAAAAAGGGACGGAAAAGGAAGGAAGAGATGAGCACGGTATTAATAATGTATAAGGGGAAAGGCACCCGGGTGGCTGATGCAGCAGCTGTCTGGTTTTGGAGAGGGGAGGCGCCTGTGCGAGTTAAACATCAATCAGTCCTCTCGGCAACGAGGCGGTGTTTGGGACAGCCACCAAGGCTTACTGGCTTATCGCTCAACTTATCGGCGGACTGCGAACGGCCACAGAAACAGCCGTCAGTCAGGGGCGCCGCGCGGCCGGGAAGCTAATGGATGTTTCCACCGGGAGGGCAATTTGGTGAATAGAAAGTTGGAGATGGTATTATGTGGGATTGTTATCCACGCTATGACGGTCAGGGGGTGTAATGCGCGCTGACAGCAGAGATGTAAGAAAGTCATCTCTCAGCAGCACCAGTCGCCACCAATCAGATGTCCCCCTATCCCACGTTTTAATCTCTGGCAGGCCCAGCAGTTTGGACACAAAAATAGACAAAATATGCTGAGCAGAACATCCGCTAAAAGTGATTAAATTCTTATTCAAGGACTGGCTTCAACGCACACTTAGGCTGGAGTATACGCTACACGGTCCAAATCACACAATTCCCATTTTTACTCCCAAGCGTTTTAACTTTCAAATCTTCAGATTCCATCGGTGCACTAAAATGATATCGCAAATCTAGCGCCGTCCGTTCAGCTGGTATGCGTGGTTCAAATTTGGGGCCAATCGGATAAAGTCTTGAGGAGACGTTTGTCTTTGAAGGACTATCGAAAATGGGCAAAATGGCCGACTTGAGCCAAAGTCTGATTCCGAAATGGTAGGGTACATTACACTCAAAAGACTTTTGGTCAAACTTTCATGCGTTAGCTGAGTCAGCAAAGTCTTCCAACATCGCTGCCATGCCATACCCACAAGCAAAGACGGAAGACTAAAATTTTCACAGTCTATTGTCTTCCATGTGGCGAGATCACCCGCCTCTGATTGTGGCTCATTTGGGTGAATTCTTCAGTAAGATTTTTCTCTGAAACCTAACCTTAAGCTATTAGCATATTTTGAAGGATAGCTGTAGGGAACTTATGCTTTGAACAGTCATTTTTGTATCTTTTATTTTATTTTGTTATTTTAAATAATGCTCAATCATGCTTAATCATTCACATAGGAAAGTAGTATGGTATTTGATGCCAAGGATGAAATGACGTTCACGTGGTACTAACTTTAGCCAAGTCACCGCCGCATGTGCATATACCTTTCTATAACACGGTTCATGCTGTGCGGCTTCGCTGCTTCACCGATTTTTTTTCTTGCAGTTTTTTTTTTTTTTTTTCCTGTGCAGTGTGTTCTACATCCTGATTGGCGAAGGGACTGGAGACAAATGTGAACAGTCTCCACGGTTCATCGTTGTACAGCTTGCCACATTTTTAAGAAAATGTATATATTTTAGCTTTTTTTTTTTTTTTAAAACGCTGGGGCCTTAAAAACAAACAAAAAAAAGGGCTTAATATTTGGTTTCATTCAATTTAAGGCTGCTGTTGTAAACGGAGTTTGTGGGTTCAGTTACAATTTAAACTATTAATAGAGGCAATTATTAACATTTTCGGGAGGGTTGGTCATTTACTGGCGGTTTAGCGCTTTTCATCAGGCTCGAGTCCCTCTCCTATCCAGGGATTCGTTTATGTGAAAACACGTGAATGCATTTAGTAATAAGAAACCGGCCATGAGACCTGCAAGGTACATCCAACCTAAATTGTGCAAAGAAGCGCATTTGCATGCTAACCTTCCTCATAACTTAAAACTTCCAGTTTAAATAGAAAAAAACAAAAACATTGACAAACATCTCAGTGTAAAAACAAACAACTGTGCTCACACAGTTGTGTTGCCCTCCATTTTTCAAGTTTCCCTTTTCGATGCGGCTTTCCGAAAGGCTTCCCGACCTCTCCGCGGTGGCCGTCTCAGAGGATGTGTTTGAGGTGCTTCATGCCGTACGTCTTGAAAAACACAAGCAGGATAAGGGTCCAGAGGCCAAGGATGAAGCCATCGGGAGGGTGCCAGTCTTTCTGTTTGGGCTTCTACAAAGTGATGTGAGGTGAGGTGAGGTGACACGGAAATGGAGGAGGACGAGAAAGGAGAACGCAGTTTAGTAATAGTGAGCATATTTCTCCTGTTGAGGCGACCGCTGATTGCGCTGTCCTTCACAAAGGCAGGCAGGCAGGCAGGTAAAAGCAGAAAAACACACGCGTGCGCGCGCGCGCACGCACGCACGCATCATCAGTACACCTCCCTCGTCTCATGTTTGTCCCGTTCGGAGGCACATCATCATTTTGTGTATGATTATACTTTTAAATCTCCCTCTTCGTATTAAAACGCGCATCACAAGGAGCACATTTATATGCTAATGTGACAGCAATATTCCGCACCCCGATGAGTTAACGTCTTTTAAAAAAATAAAATACTTTTTTCTAGGACGAGAAAGGAGAACGCAGTTTAGTAATAGTGAGCATATTTCTCCTGTTGAGGCGACCGCTGATTGCGCTGTCCTTCACAAAGGCAGGCAGGCAGGCAGGCAAAAGCAGAAAAACACACGCGTGCGCGCGCGCGCACGCACGCACGCATCATCAGTACACCTCCCTCGTCTCATGTTTGTCCCGTTCGGAGGCACATCATCATTTTGTGTATGATTATACTTTTAAATCTCCTTCTTCGTATTAAAACGCGCATCACAAGGAGCACATTTATATGCTAATGTGACAGCAATATTCCGCACCCCGATGAGTTAACGTCTTTTAAAAAATAAAATACTTTTTTCTTTTTTTTTTTTTTTTAAATGAATAAGGGGAGAAAGAGAAACATGGGGGCACAAAGCTATACACACACAGCCAGGAAGCACTTAAGAGATTTCTGGTGTTCCTCTGCACACAAACTGACATTATCCAGTCAGAAGGTGGAGGATCTCACCCCAAACCATCCACAGACTCCAAGACTTGGCAAGACAAGCACTCGGGACAGAACACCTTGCGTGGTTGAGTACTCCTGAACAGGAAGTGCGGTGTCTGTCTGGCTCAATGAGGGAGAAAGGAAGGAAGACAACGTCTGCGGAGCTGTAAACATTGACACTGCAAATGGAGATAAAGCCAGGCTGACGGGGGGAGACCAACTTGCAGAGAACTGAAAGCAAAGTTAACTTCGAAGCTATAAGAGGCTTCGTTCACACGTGTCTTATTTGGTTCGTTTAAAACGATTACTGGTGCGATTGCTCCGTTAGTCTAGTTAGTGTAAAGCCGGGGCCAAACAAACAAAGTGGTTGCATAATCACAATTATGCACCGACAAACTTTGGTACCGTCATCATGCTCTTCGTGTCTTATCAGCTCGTAAAAAACAAAGCGTCAAAAGTTCGGATTTAGTCACAACCATGATTTCGATGGGGCAACTTTTTCTAAACGTGATGTATGTATAAGCTTGCTTCTTTTGTTTCTGTGTGACTGACAGATTACTAATTGAGTCGATCCACCCGAAGGTAGCCATCTTGAGCGCTAATGACTGTTTATCCTGCCTCAGCTAACAATCACATTCTCATGATCGTCACAATTCCGGTCAGCTTGACTTTGACGTCTCACTGGGAAGATATCGGAGAACGAAATTGCTACAAGTCGTGATTCACAACATGACGAAAGAGCGCAAATTACTCGGTCCTCGACACCGTGCGACAATTAAGGGAGGACGGCATTATTGGTTAGGGAGGGAGAAATCTCAGTGCTTACATATGCAATAAGCTCATCTTCACAGCAAGTTACGTGACAATGCTACCAATTACCACTGTCAAAAGATACAAGGCCTCAGTAAATCTCGCCTATGTTGCACTGAAAATACATTTAATTGCTCAATCAAGAGGAATCAATGGAGCTTCTCTGCAGACACTGAATGCAAATGACTTCTAGTTTGTGAGCGGGGGCCCTCGGGGCATGGTTGAGCGTCAGCTTGCAAGTTTAAAGGTGAGAAAAGAGTTGAATTTATGTGGGACAGTTGCCTGAGGAACACCGCAACTCTCTGTATACAGTATTAAAAGTGATTTCTTTAGCGTCACTGGAAAATGAGTCGGCCCCCAGCTATGATAATAATTTACTGGATTAGAATTTAGGTACATGTCATGTCTTCACTACACAACAAGTAAGCTTTGCTCAGCTCTCGACACCACAGATAGCAAACCCGTCTATGTTGATGAGACCCGACTGAGAGCGTGTGACCATCAGGAGCGGTTGACCTGTGAGCCTCCAGTGTGGGAGGACATGCGCATGGGAGATGGCGCGCCAGTGACCCAAACCCACATCAGCAGCGCTATTAGCAGGAACGAGAGGAACATATGGCTTCAGCCGAGCGAAATGAGCAAGTCGTGAGCACGATGTGAAAATAAAACACATTCCCACTGTGTACTTTTTCAGGCGTTTTCTGTACTGCTGTTTCGCTTCTCTCAATCTGAGCTCGTCTTTTGGGTTGTTGTGAGCACATTACTGTCACGTTGTCGTTTTGCTTCTTTCTCAGGATTTTTGTGACATGCACTGCTGTCATTGCTCATTCTCTACTGCGTGTGTTTCTTTTTCAGGCTTCTGTGAAGCACGCTGCTGTCATGCTTTGTTACGCTGTCACCCTGCGGCTTTTTTTCCCAGACTTGTGCATGACAGTGTCAGAAGATTGTATGCCTTTTAGAGTGTTCTGTGACAAGAAAGTTGAGGGATATTTTATACATACATAGAGAGAGAGAGAGAGAGAGAGAGTGAGAGAAAGAATGGTGATGCATGATAGATTATTTGAAAGGACATTAATAGAAGGGCAAGTCTCCGCCAACAAGGCTTCATGTTTAAATATGCCTTGTCATTTATGAAAACATAAATGTGAAGAAAAGAAGTGAGTGTAAAAGGAACATTAAAAAAAAATATTCAGCAGACTGATGATGAACGAGTGAAGTCTAGGAGGAAGGCTGCCTGTTTGGTGACCTTCACTGATTGAACCGTTCATTGAAGCAGCCTACCTCCATTACACGGGCTTTGTGTTGCATATTCAATCCGCTGGTAAAAATCAATTAATGGCAAAGACATCAGATTGATTGGAGATAATTAACATGAGATGCTGACGGTCATCTGAAGCACCTTGAACACGAACGCTCCCAAGGTTGAAAGTGGCTGCAATTTATGTTACGGCGCAGTTGCATTGCGCTCAAACACCTTGACATGCTCGCCATCAGCAATAGGCCTGCAACGGCATGTGTGTATTTGGATTTGGATTTTTCTGGACATGTTTTCAGAACAGCACGTCCATGCTGCACCTTATGTTCCTTTTACTGTACCGAATGTGAACCTTACCTTGGCCGCGGTAGATACCCAAATATGAGAATGCCTTATACTCATACAAAGCGTATTTATTTGTTGTTTTCCACTCCATCGTGTGTTATGTCCGAGTAGAGGCACATTGTAAGGGCTAATCTGGGTGGGTGGCGAAGGACTCTGATCCACGCAGCCCACGTCCACTTTGAAGAGCGTGAGTGAGCCCGGCGCGACCGATGAAGGTAGCAAGGAATTCATTTTCACCGTTTGCATTTTCAATGCCCTCAATTCTCTCGAGGCGTATTGTCGAGCCGGCGTAAGCATAAATAACAATTCCGAAGCTGACGAACAGCATGCCAAATAATGAAAAAAGTACAATACACAAGAGAATAGTGAAGAGAATAGTGAATGAGAGTTCTTTCCAGCAATGGTAAAATTGAGTCAATAGGGAGGGACGAGTGGGCTTGGAAGCGAGGGGGGGTCTCATCCTGCCACCAGTGACAGTACAGTAATCAAGTCTTCACATCCACATTTTTTTTTTTTAAGCACATCAACGCATATTGGCTGTCAGTCATTCTGACGACTTCCCTATTTACAAGTCGGCGCATGCTCCCGTAGCGAAGAGGAAAATGCTTTGCTGAGCGCCGAGAAGACAATCAATGATTGGATTTGGGTTTGTCGCCACCGGCGGCAGACCCTCTTGGGCATATTCAAGTCATCAAATCGGTGCCAAGCTGGCTGGCATTTTGACTTCATCGCTGGAATGAGTACAAAGAGGTCTCGTCGAGGGACTCGCGCAGCGCGACGACAAATCTAAGGGAGGTGAGACGTCAATAAGCTGCAGGGGACGTCGGTCAGATGAGCCTGAGTGCAGATGGTCGGATATGAGGCCACGGGGAGATTACTCGTGCAGTGAAGCACCAACAGGAGTGCAAGAATATAATCCAACATCTGTGGCAGGGGTCACTGGGGCCACGCAATCTATAATATGTATATGCGT